AAGGTCAGGAAAATTGGTCCCTAACTACCAATTAGTGGCTAAAATCAGGTTTTTCCCTTCTTAATGTCTTCCCACTTTTAAAGTGTGTACACCCTGGCCTAGATGGTTCAGCAGGTCTTCCAGCTGCCTGGCAAGTCTGAGTTACATGGTGAGAAAGACAACGCCTAGAATGCAGTAGGTGCTCAATAACTACGGGGAGCTGCTGGTTTCAAACACATATACCCAACCAGCTGACGTCCAGTCAATTCTGGCAACCCCATATGTGTCAGAGTAGAATTGCACTCCATAGGGTTTCAATGGCTGATTTTTCATAAGTAGATCGATAGGTCTTTCTTCTGAGGTGCCTCTCGGTGGACTCAAACCGCCAACGTTTTGGTTAGCAGTTGAGCACTTAACTATTTGCACCACCCAGGGCCTCCCAGAGACATAGAGAAATATATAAATCCATAAAAATTTCAAAAGAAAGGAGAAATTCCAGTCTCCTTACGCAAAGACAGGCTTCCTCTATCGCTTCCAGAGCCTGGTTTGTGGTGTGCAATTAAGAGACACTGAGTATCCTGTAATAGCTGCTGCTGGACAAAGCAGGAATACCACATTTCAATTTCTTTCAGGTGGCTTGGGATGTCAGCATTGAATATGATCACCACTCCATGAGAGTCCTTCATCAGGGCTGGCCAGCAAGACTCGAACCTTCAAGGCAGAAAAGGAGTCAGCGGGAATGTTAGGTCACTTGGTTTCTAACTGCAGACTTTACAAATAATATCTTATTATTAATAATTGATTGATGACTTCTAATTGCATCATAAGCCAACTGCTAAAGTTCATAAAAAAATTCACATCACATTTAGCAAGTTCCTAATATGTGTCAGGAATTGTACTAGGCCTGAGTGCAGGGTGCCTGGTGGGCAGCTTATTTTTAAATCGGTTGGTGATGCAAACTCTCCTTAAAGCAAACATACTTTGGATCACCGCCACAATCCCACAGCTCAAACTCACACCCCGTGCCTTTGTTGTTGCTGGTAACATGGGGGTTCTCAAATTCCAGGATCCTAAAAAATAAAAACAATAGCAGCAAAAGCATCAGACTTTTGGGATGTCAACAGCACAAGAAGTGGGAGGGTAA